ACGGCTCCTCTGATGCTGCTTGGCCTGCTGTGTTCATCCAGCTCTACACCTTGTTATTGCAGATTCTCCAGCATCTGCAGTTCCTACTATCTCTCTACACATCTGTCGAATGTTGTTCCTCTAATGGGTGACACCTGTTCTATGCCTCTGTCTCAGACTGTTTGCAGGAGGAAGGTTCCTCCTGTGTGCAGGGGGGAGAAAATCCACTGTCTGAGGTCTTCCTGTTGAAGGTAAATGAATGTTCATTCAGTTTTTGGACCCTTCCAAAAGTCTCAAATATAAGTAACTATTGCTACTGTATGTATGAGAGTTGGATAGAGTCAAAGTCTAATGTTTTGTTTTGTTTATTTGAATTGCAACTGTGCAGAACTGAACTGCATTTGGAACAACGTATACAAAAATATATTTTTAATGAATAAAGCATATTTTGAAATTTAAAAATCTAATAAGATCTCTCTGACACTTGATTCCCGCTCCATGGATGCCAAGTTTCTTCAGCATTTTGATTTTAGTTCAATTTTTCACTATTTTGCTGTGAAGTTGTTTCTTGTGCAAAAAAACCACGGAATTATGGTAGCCAGTAAAGAGCGACCTGTTCCTCTCTGGTCTTAATTCAATTGTGAGATACACTGAATTAGTTGGACTCAGTTACCATAGTGAAGCTAGTTTTGTATTCATCAGTCATGAATATAAGTAGGATGTATTCTGTACCTTTGACTCAGGTAACAGTTTTGGGGAGTAGGATTCCTTTTGCATTTGTTAAATATTGAATGACTGTAGACAGAAATCATCCACTTGGTGATTCGTAACATGGACCAAACAAACCCATTGGAGTATTTTGAGCTTTCATTGCGTTCTCAAAGTTTTGGGAGTGCACTCTGACTCCTGGAATGTGTAACAATTGCCAAGTAGGATTTATCAACTAAGGAAAAAAGACACACATTTTTCAAGTCAAGTAAATTCAAGAACGCACAATAGTCCCTTCTACAGCTTCAAATGATAAATGAAAAGATCTGCTTTTAGACCTCAAAGATCAGGGAAGAGCACAAACACAGTCCCCCACTCCCACAAATTTTGCATTTGGGGACATCACAGGCGTTAGCACATCCGAGGTGCAATGGGATAGTCTCGCCCTGAAAGAACAACCTTTTCTCTTAAATTTCAAAAATTTACTTTATTCATAAAAATCTCTCTGTACATATACATTGTCACAAAGCAATTTGTTTCTGCACAATTATATATCAAGCAACCAAACAAAATGTTGAACTTTGACTATCCCAAAAACGCCAAAGACCCCTCTTACACAAAACTAATATTCACATATATTTGACACACTGGAAGGGTCCGATAACTGAACAGTCCTGCATTTACTTTCAGCAGAAAGACCTCAGACGGTGGTCTTTCCCCCATGCCCCTTGGCAGCAGCTGCCCCAAGCTTTAGTGCATTCCTCAGCACATGGTCCTGGACCTTGGAATGTGCCCAGTCTGCAACATTCAGTCAGGGTCAGCACCTTGCTCTGGAAGACCAGCTAGTTTCAGGCAGACCAAAGAGCATCTTTCACTGAGATGATGGTCCTCCAGGTGCAGTATGTTTGTCTCCGTCTGCATGCCGGGGAACAGACCATAAAGGACAGATTCCCGCATCACGGATCTGCTCGGGACGCACCTCGACACAAACCATTGCATCTTCCTCCAGACTTCCTTTGCAAAGGCACGTTCCAGAGGGAGATGTGTGACAGTCTCTAAACCCTCTCCCTCCCACCTCACAGCCACTTCGAGGGCAGCATGTGGTGGTGCAGACTGACCAGGTGTGCATGAAGGATCTCACAGGTAAAGCCCTTCTCACCACCAGTCAAGCGATGTCCTGGTGTTTGTTGGAAAGTTCTGGTGATGAGATATTCTACCAAATAACCTTGACAGTCTGCTCAGGGAACCATGCCACAGATCCACCCTCTCCATTTCCCTCAGGGTCTCGAGGATGCTACGCACTGACCACTTCCTGATGGACTGGTCATGAAAGGGGTTTTTCTTTGCAAATTTCTCTATGAAGGACAGCTGATACAGAATGGTCCAACTACTTGCAGTGAGGCCAGTCGCAATCCTTCGCAACACCAGGGACAGGTAGACCCTTAGTGTGTAGTAACGAGCTGCACACAACGGTGGCCATCAGGGTGAGGGCAACATTGGGTGTGTTCTCCCCCCAACCCTTATCCAGAGTTTTGTACATGGAGTTCCTGCAGACCCGGTCTATCTTAGGCTTCCAGACAAAATGGAAGATGGTTCAGGTGACTGAAACAGCACAGTTTTGGGGTATAGGCCAGACCAATGCTACGTACAACAACAGAGAGAGTGCCTCACACCTGAGGACCAGGTGTTTTTACCCACAATGGAGAGGGAGCAGTGCTCCCAAAGGACCAGTCTCTGCTTTACTTTAGCGATGGTCTCCTCCCAAGATTTTGTGCACATCCCGGCCCCTCTGAACCATATTCCCAGCATCTTCGGGTAATCTGTCCTGACAGCGAAGGGAATAAAGGATCGTTCGGCCCAGTTCTCAAAGAGCACGGCCTTGTGCTTGTCTCCATTTACCTTGGCACCCGAGGCCAGTTCAAACTGGTCACAGATGCTCATGAGTTTGCGCACTGACAGCGGATCCGAGCAGAAAACGGCGAAGTCATCCACGTATAGGGAGGCTTTAACCTGGAGGCCTCCGCTGCCTGGAATAGTCACCCCTCTCAGGCTCACATCCTTCCTGATGGACTCTGCAAAAGGCTCTATACAACACACAAACAAGGCAGGAGAGAGTGGAGATAACAAGGTGTAGCGCTGGATGAACACAGCAGGCCAAGCAGCATTAGAGGAGCAGGAAGGCTGATGTTTTGGGTCTGGACCCGAGAGTGGGCAGCCGTGCTTGACTCTGGATCTGATCGAGGAGCTTTCTCATTCCCTCCCATTGATTGTGACTGCACTAACGATGCTGGGGTAGACCAGTCTGATCCAATTGCAGATTCCCTCCCCAAAGCCCATTTTGGAGAGTACATCCCACATGTATGTGTACAATATCCTGTCAAAGGCCTTCTCCTGATCCAGGCCGATGAGGCAGGTGTCCACCCCCCTGTCCTGCACGTAGGCGATTGTATCCCTGAGGAGTGCAAAGATCTCAGATTTCATCCTTCCCAGTATAGCATGGGTTTGGTCAGGGTGAATCACCGAACCTAGACCAGACATGAGCCAGTTGACAGGATTTTGTAGTCTGCATTCAGCAACGTTATTGGCTGACAATTTCTGATTTCCTCCCTTTTCCCCTTCTGTTTGTAGCTAAGGGTGATGCTACCTTCCAGAAGCATACTGTTGTACACCTCCAGCAGGTTCTGGCCAATCAGGTCCCACAGAGCTGAATACAACTCGGCCAATAAGCTGTCACTTCTGGGAGTTTTATTGTTTTCTCAGGACTCGAGGGCCTTGGTCAGCTCAGCCAGAGGCAACGACAGGCTGGTCTCTCTCGCGTGCTGTTGTCTTAGACCTCGGTGATAGAGGACAGAAACGACTGGGAGGCCGCACTGTGCGTGGGCTTCATGTCATATAGTCTGGCATAAAAGGATTTGCTGATCGTCAGGATGTCAGACTGAGGTGACGTTACCGAGCCATCTTCTTCCTTCAGGCTGCTGAGCACGGAGCTCTCTTTCTGGGAGAAGAAACGTGAGTGTGTCTCAACCTGCTCCACGGTGCGGACCCTGGGCCGGAAGATTATCTTGGGGGCCTCCGAGGGAAACAGCAAGGCTTGCTGGCTCTTAACCTCCTGGAGATCCTCTGTGACATCGAACCCCATTCGTCTGCAGCAGGAGTAGGTTCTGCATGGTTTTCCTGCAATTTGGACAGTTTTGCTTGCCCCTTTCTTGCCTTCTGAACACCTTTGAGGATGAAGAACCTCTTGACGTTCCCCTTGACTGTTGCCCACCAGTCCACTGGAGACTCAAAGAGGGGCTTCACAGTTCTCCAACC